GGAAAGATGTGAAGGTTAAACTGCAGCCTGGGTTAAAAACCCTTTGTTGGGGACACTGAAGTCTCTGCAACTATCTGTCTTGCGATGGAGCTATCCAAAGGGGCGCATGTTTGCATCCTACTGAAACCAAAGTTCAGACTTCAAGCATCTCCCTTTAGATATCAAAGTCACCCAACTGACAGGAGGTTTTTTAAACTCTTGCAAAACACAGAAGATGTGAACTAGGATATTTTTACAAAAATAACAGCTTTTAAGAATCATTTTTGTGATGGATGATTTTTTTAGAATTAAAAACAATTTTCTGAACATTTGGGGGAAAAAAAGATTGTTTTCCATTGTACAAAGCAGAATCAGTAACACTTTTTTCCCCCAACTGACATGTGACTTCCATCTCTCTTGATATTTGACACTATTTCATTGATCTTGCCAAAACCAAGTTCCTTTTTAAGTTCCTTTTTAAGTTCCTTTTTAAGTTCCTTTTTAAGTTCCTTTTTAAGTTCCTTTTTAAGTTCCTTTTTAAGTTCCTTTTTAAGTTCCTTTTTAAGTTCCGTTCCTTTCCTTATCTGCTTATCCTCTTTTTCACTAGCTTTTAAGATTAATATGATTTTAATCTGAATCCTGGTGGTGGTGTCATTACTATAATTTTTGGAAGTGGTGCTCTCCATTGGCTGAAAGTTGAACATCACGCAGTTTGGCTTGTCAGCAAGCCGGGTGGTCCAGTACCCACAAAAGTACTGGTACATACATGGTGAATGGTCACAGTCTTATAAGGTACAGCTAGTATTTAATGTTAGGATAGGGTGGATTATGCTTTTATAAGAAGTTCACAAATGTTTCGGAAAATAACTTTGAAGTAAACAGTTGCCAGCCTTGGGATTTCTCCTGTCTTTCTACAAATCAGATGATGCTGTGCTGCCCTCTCATTCAGATTTAGGAAATAAATTAGGTGCCCAAATGCTAAACCAATCTGCTTTTCAGGCCAAGACTGGTGTTTCCAGACGTGCCTGCTGTCAGCAGGGTTGCTGGAGGGAGCAATTTCAGGCAAGGTGAGAAATATTTGCTTTGTTCGAGGTTTTATGGCCTCATCTAGTACCACAAGTAGCTAGAGTGTCTGAACAGGGCTAGTATCTGTAGCTGTGGAGGAGTAACATGTTAAGTCCTTTACCCTCTTCCCTGGGAGCCCACAGGGGAAAATGCCCAAATGTGGGGTGGGGGGGAACATTTCTGCTGTGGCACATATTCATTAGACTGACACTGAAGGCAGCCACCTGGAGATAAGCAGGATAAAATACAAAACTTACCATGGCTTTAAATGTTTGGGGGGTCCAACTTCATTCTCAGGCTGATGTTAATCATTGTAAAATTCCTAAACTTCATTGGAATACGATGAGTGGAAAACTACTGTACGAGGCGATGCCTGTTTCTGTTTCCTTGTGCTCGTGGCAGGGTTAGTTTCACAACAGAAGTCACGCAAGGCTGAAGACGGTGGGTGGGTGAGCTCATGGGTGCAGGCAGATGCTGGTGAGCTGTAAAACATTTGTGACTAAGAGTAAGAACAGAGTTTCAAAGTGAAACAGTGCCTACGGACTCACGAGTCCTCATTTCCCCTCTATGTACCTGTTTCAACTGGGTTACCATAGCATAACAGTCTACCTAGACCTTACATGATCTAGGATTCAGTAGTTTCTATTTTGGCTATGTTGTCCAGAAATAGGGCATTAGTTAACAGCTTGTAGATCTCCTTATGTGCTGAACAGATGCATTGGATAAACTGAGGACTTTGCTCACAACACTTTTCTCTTTGCATATGTTGGGATAACTTTATGGCTCCTGCAACAGGGAAACATGGTCTTATTTAGTATGCATTATTGTGATGAAGGATTTTAATATTGCTGGAGTGAATAATTAAGTAATCTGTGGAGGTAGACCACCTGCAGACACCAAATTGTTCAAGCAGAAAGGTGTCTTGGTTTCATGTTAGCTCCGTTGCATTAATCATCCTAAGTAAACACCTGTAAGATAAATTGCTTAGTTTGCAGAGAATAATAGCAAGAATGATTCACAAGCCATGACACCAAGCAGAGGGTTGAACAGAGGCCAGGAAGGTCGATGCCTTGCTATAGAGCAGGTGGTGAGAACGTGTACTCAAAATATTTGAGCAATTGAATTTAAGCCAGCTCAGGAATGTCGTGCATGGCCAGTTGCTGCTCTGGAATTACAGCGATGTGCACAGCTATGGGGCTCCAAGCAGCCCCTTAGCTGGCCCCTGCATTCACACCAGCTGTGAGCATGCCTTCCCTCCCCAATTACCTTCATAGTTTGTCTGTTCTGTCTCCCTGTCGCACAGAGGGTGAGAGGAGCTGGTCTGGCTCTAGAGCTGGATGTTTCCTTGCTCAGCTCTCCATGAGCGGGCTGGAACTAACAAAGTTCATGTGAGTAAGTGTTACTGATAGCCAGGCATTTGCCTTGGTGTATATGGCAGCATGCCTGGATGTGCAACCAGCCTTTGTACCACATCATGGAGCTTATGCAGAGCCTTCATTGTCTAAGCTATGTTGACTTCAACTGCCCCAGAGGAAGGAAAAAAAATCAGAGACATCTCTGGATGTGCCTCTTGAACTGCACAACTGTGCACCTAACCTTGGGAATACTCAACTTCAGTAGATGACAAATTTGTTCAGAAAGCTTTGTCTTAAACAATCCTTTAGCTTGAGGGCGCAGGCTCTGAGCAGCTTCTGGAATGAGTGCAGAATATAGGCTGCTTTAGAAACATAGGCATCCACCAAGCTTAGCCCCATGGAAATCCCAATCACGTTTTGCCAAGCAGCTCTATGGTGCCCACAAATTAGCTGTATCTGAATCTCTCTAGCTCAAAAAATTGACCTTGCCATGGCTTTACTGATCTCCCCAAACCACATGGGCACTGTAACATCTCAGCTCTTGCATGTTTTCTTCCACACACATCTCACATGGCATGGGACCTTGGGCTTCTTGTGCTGCTACCATTTTGAGTCAGGAAAGAGTTTAGGAGTTGTTGGAGGGGCTCAGGACAGGTGGCTTCTGGCCACCACTTTTCAGGTATACGAAGGTTAAAGACCTGCTGACTAAAGCTTTCCCATGGGAAATGTAAGGTAGGTGAGTCCTCCTTGTGCTCATAGCTCTGCATCACCCTAGCAGCACTGCTTATTTCTTCTTTTAGGGGATCTGGTACAGGTGAAGATGGTCAGAGAAATGCAGGCTGAGCAACAGCAGTGGCAGCTGTCACAAATGAGTGGTTTAAGGCCGTGTAAAAAATCACTGGCAAAGGTATTGGCAAAGGGTGATTTTAATAGAAATTTATAGAAATGTGACTTAACAGAATTTGATGGCAAGGTTCACTCTATTACTTATTACATGGATTAAGTATACACAGGGGAAAATCGTATCAGAACTGTGTTGGAACGATTTGTACAGAGATTGAGGATAAAAGGGTAAGGGGGACCCTCCCGTTAAGCCACGAGGTTCAGAGAACTCTGAACAACTGGACCCAATCTTAGTCTCAGACTTGGACAACGGTTTGCGTCTAATACAAAAAGGGATAAGAAAACCCTCCTGTTGGGTCACGAGGTTCAGAGTAGACCCCCCTTGCTTTCTAAACTCCTTCTCAGAGAGGAGCCTAGGTGCGGCTGGATCTACCCTTAGTCTCAGACCTGGGCAACCGTTTATGACTAAAGGGTTAAGGGTTTTAGCAGCAACTTAGAGTCCAACAACACTTAAGCATTAATCAATTTGGCAGCTATGCAAAGAATTAGTCAAGTTACTACAAATACTAAAACAACTTAGCTGCAGATTATACTTTTTAGTAACTGTACAGGTAAGTGCGCAAAAAGATCTAGATGAATCAATACGTATATACATGCATATGAATATGGTACCAAAGCTAAATGAAAGGCCTAAAGCTAGCTAAATTTATAAAGGTATACCTGTTAAAAATTCCCCTCGAGTCCCGTGAAATACTCACGTTAAATGCTTTGGCATTTCCCAACGGGTGAAGAGTTGAGCCCTGAGGAGCGTCTCAGCCCAAAATCTCGGTGATCCTCCGAGTATCGCAAATTCGAGTTTGCGGACTCTCAGAAGCGTCCCACTCAGAGGGAGATTCTGGATGCAGCCCGCTGCGGTCCAGGAGAGCTCAAAGGGTCTCACTTGGTACCGCTGTTTATAAGTTTGCAAGATGATTGGCTTTAGTCATCAGTAAATTTCCATTTTGGCTACTATCCAAGGTGGTCCAGGGTAGTAATTATGGTATTGTTTCATGGTAACAATGGTATTGTTCCACTTGAGCTATGATCCAGGTAGGGAATGCTTCAGAGCCATCAGAGATGATGAATTATCTCTTGTTTCTGTTCCCTACCTTGATCATGTAGCATCGTCCCTGGTACGATCAGTGTAGTTCCCCACCTTAGCCATGCAAGAGCGCTTGGTACGGCCAAGGGACGCTTAACCGCCCAACTCATACACAATGGCTAAAGCTTAACAGAAGGTTCTGAGATCGTATCGTAGCCCAGAGGAAAAGAGGGGGGGAGGGAGGGATGCACCACCACAGTAGCAGGAGTGTCTGTATGGGTAGGTTTGGTAAGGGAAACTTGTAGAAAGGATCAAAATACACACAACTTAGAGGCCCATGGATAAAGGGGTGCTGGAAGATCTTGTGGCCACAAGTCAATTTAGGTATGTGCCCAAGAAATCTGCTTTTCGCTTTTGTTGTAATAAGTCAGCAGGTTAACAGAGCAGTAGGAACCTATCAAGAAATTCAGTGGGCAATGAATAACAGACAAAATGGCCACTGCTCTCATAAGTAATTTCCTCTTTATGGCTGGCATTTTTTTAAAAGACAAATCAGGCTGGGGAAGTGACTTTTATTTTTCCTGCTGCATTATCTGAGTTCACTAGCTACAAATGAAGCGACAAGGGATAGGAAAGCATGTTCCAGGGAGCCTTCCAGACAGCAGCAGGGGGAAGCACTAAAACTGACAGACAATAAGGTGATTCTGGTTGCACTTTTTGTCATTCCAAGTGCCATCAGTGTACATCTCAACACATTCCTCCTCCCCTTTGCCAGAAGGTTCATTTAAATGCCAGTTAGTATAGTTCAGTTGCGTGCCATCCAGGAACTGGAATTTGCTTGGAATTAAAGATTCCTTTATCCCCAGGTAGGTGTAGGTATTAAAATTTTTCACAAAGTACAGAATGGCATCATTCTCGCCTGGGTTCCTTGGAGTGGCAATAGACCCTCCAGCCTCTTTGCATTTTTTCAGTGTAGTATGGAAATCAGCTTTTTTCCCATTGGTAGCAAATATTTTTCCTCCAGATGCTGTTATCTTCTTTTCCAAGCGGAGGACTGCAAGATGAGGTGAAAGCTGTTAAATTTTCATGCATTGTTTTGTGGTCACTTTGCTGCTAGTTGTAATTCCCACTATTTTCCTCCATAACTTCAGATTAAACCCAGGAAAAGGTAAAGGAGAAGAAAACTTGAAACCAAAGATAAAAGAAAAGAAAAAAGACAACTCCCAAAAAGAAATCTAAAAAGATGAGGAGGGGGGGAAAGGAAGAAACACATAGATATACAGACAATGAAATAGGAGAAGCATGAAAGAGGTTGGAGAAGGAGGGAAGGAAATAAGGAATTCTACATTTTCTTTGAGTCTCTCTACTCTGTAAAAGCTCTCTCAGATAGTTTGCAGTATATAAGGGTATATGTCAGCCCTTGAGTGAGTAGGATCTTAGATGTATTTGGTTGTGATTGTTTTGGTACGTTTTTAGTGTTTAGTTTATTTGTCTGTTAGGAGCATGAGGTGCCCATGAAGCATTTCTGCATAGGCAGGGATTTTAATCTGATAAATTTCTAACTTGCACCCATATTTCAGAGCTGTTACCTACATGTCTCCCACTAGTTATGAAGAACTAATTTCCGCTCCCCCTCCCCCCCGATTTGAGTTATCACTCTCTTATCTACCAGTGAACAAAATATAAATGGAATGCAATAAAACCGCAGAAAATTCTGCTTTTTTCCTAAGAAGCCATTTTGTTGCTCATCTTGTTTATGCCTGCTAATCCAGCTACAGCAGAAAGTAAAGGCAGATAAATTACCTCCTTCAAGTCTGGAAATCTGATGTTCTAACTGACGGATAACATCTTCCATTTCATTATCAACCAGCGGTAGGAAACCTATGAACAAAACCAGCTATTATGCACTTTGCATTACGGTTTGAATCTTGGCTTTCAAGATAAAGCAGAGGTAATCATGTGAAATTAATATGAACTTTTAAAATGTTTGTTTGACCTGTTTTAGTTTACTGCTGTGTTTTAAATAGGGGATCTTTTCATACATTGATCTTTGTAAGGATAGGGAATACTTTCTTGGAAACTACCTGCAGAGCAGTGATGTTTATGGAAAACTTGAATTAGCAAACCACTCTATAAGTGGCGAAGCCAGTCCAGGCAAAACACTGGCACTTGTGCGGTAGGTTTAGTTGATTTTTAACTGCGTCTAGGGATTGCTGACAGAATCCTTCAGGCTGTTCAAGCACTTGCAGCTCCAACCCAACACCTAGCAACAAGTTTCTTGTGCCCTGCGTTATGGAAAATGATATTCTTTTCGCTGTGAATTGAACCATTGCATCATTAAGTAGGAGAGATTTAAGCATCTTACTTCATACAAGGAATTAATAAAGATGTCTTTGTTTTCTATCAAGTAGAACCCACATCAGATTATATAGCACTGAGTTTACAAAGCATAACAATGGAACACAACACTACATCTAGATAAAAATGGAGATGGTAACTGCATGTACCTGGTATAAAGCCTTCATCTATCCCATCTTCAGGCGAGGAGAGATTTAAGCATCTTACTTCATACAAGGAATTAATAAAGATGTCTTTGTTTTCTATCAAGTAGAACCCACATCAGATTATATAGCACTGAGTTTACAAAGCATAACAATGGAACACAACACTACATCTAGATAAAAATGGAGATGGTAACTGCATGTACCTGGTATAAAGCCTTCATCTATCCCATCTTCAGGCGAGTGCGCAAAACTGCGCAGTGGATCTGCTGGTTTACCTTGAGCACAGCATGGGAGCAGGAAAAAAGCCACTCCTAAGATTTTGTGGAACAACTGTGGAGACAGCATTATTTAAAGCCAAATGTAAACCAGACTGTTTTAGTCTCCAGTGTAGAGTCCTGTGTTTAAAAAAAAAAAAAAGGCAATGTTTCAGAATTTTGCTGTCTGGGTTTTGAAGTTTTATGTACCTTAAGCTTTGCCCTCAGTGACATGAATGTCATTGACGTAGTTGCAAAGTTAGGTTATTACAAATAATGAAAATCTTTTTCTAAAAGATTCAGTCTGTTAGTCTACTTAAGAGTTTAAGCTACAGAGCAAAAACCAAACATCCCCTTCAAAGCTCTTTTTTTTTTTTTTTTTGTACAGCAGATATATGCCATTTTTCCCATGCAAAAAGCTATAGTTTCAATCTTAATTTTACAGGGGACAATAGACATGTCTGCTTTAGCAAGAGAAAGCCAGGTAAGATAAACTGGGACAGTCTTTATCAACTGGTTTACAGTGAAACAATTGTTAATGCTTATTCTTCCATTATGGCATCCATCTTTTAAAGTATCTTCACCTGAGGTGACATTCTCTGTAAAAGTAGGTGAAAGTTTTAATAAAAATGTTGAGACACAAAGTAAAAAAATCTAAAATGAAAGGTTTGTGATACAGTTTAACAAGATTCAACATAATTTAAATGGAAACCTATTTAAAGATGTTCAACTTACCTAGCAGCTCCAATATGAAGTAAGAAAGACTCTTGAAATGGTCTAATTTATAGGGAATGTAACTTGAGATTCACCTTGTTACCTACAGGAAATACAAAGAGCATGTAATATGATATGAATTTGCATATGAATAGAAATTTAATGAACTTTAACTTGAATGATAGAGGGGGTGTTTTCTTCAAGAGGTAAACACACTTAAAATGTGAGGAAAATATTTAAGGGTACTTTCTCAATTTGTAGAAACACTTTCACACGTTTAAAAAAAACCGACCCTGGAGCAGAACAAAGCAATTTCTCAATACATATTTGAAATACCTGATGTTTCCACAGGACAGCTGTGTAAATGTTAAATTGTAAATGTCACTGAAGATAAGCCAAAACAAGGAGTTCACCTGAAATATAATATGGACCAGGAACACCACCAGAATTTTCATTAGACTGAGGACTTACCAATGATAATTATTGATGTTTTATAACAAATAGAATCTCATAATTGTAGCAGCAAAGCTGAAAGACAATGGTACATCTGCAGCATACGTAGAGGTAACAGCCACAGAAGCACACCTAGATAACCGACAGAATGCACCAGGGGAAGCCTATATATCATAAATAATAACAGTTTACAGTACTATGTAAGTAGTACACTTTTATCCAATAGAACAATGACCTTTCAGTGAAGGAAAAAGCTGCTCTAAACCAGTCCTGTGAGTACAGAGACTTCAAGATGCAGATCATTGCTGAAATGGAAATGCATTGCCATGTACTTTTAAGTAATTATCAGCTGAGAGTTGTTTCTATCTAATGGAGACTTTTAGGAAAGGCATTTCAGGCTGTGCTCCAGTTCAAACAAATAGATGCAGTCACATCATCCTTGTGGTGTCAGGCCAGTGTCCTGATGTTGCAGCAAGGCTAACAGCCGAGTCAGTTGAGGAATAGCTGCTTTGAGATTAGACAGGGAACGTGAACAATAGCCATATTAGTCCAAGATGCTACTGGATCTAAGCAAGCCTAGATCACCTCCGTGGGCACTCTGCACCTTCATACTTACCTCAACAACTGACGTAGTGTCCTTTGTCATTGGTGTTGTGCCCACAGAAGCCTGATTAATTCCTGCAGCATTGTCTATCGAGTGCCCTGGAAAAGGCACAAGTCCTGTGAAAAATAAATAAGCAGTACCCAGTTGTATGTACCTTGACAGAAGAGGGTTGTTTAAGTTTGCATAGGTAATCTTTGTTTAAAGCTTCTTGTTAAATTTCAAGTTTCTTAGTTTTTGAGTGTTTGACTTAATACTTTTAACCTTTTTTTGGCTGAGGTTTTCTAATTGTTTTATGAAAAAAAAAAAAACCTAACAGAGAACATGAGACAAGTCATTACCTGGGGTCCAGATGAGCCCTAGAAAAGGTCACTGGCAGAACCTGCGCCTTTGCATCTGTGGTGAGAACAACTTTAGCACTTCAACTGCATCTGGAAGTAAACTGCAGGTTAGGCAAGTGTGAGAAGAGGATGAGGCTTGGCCTCCATTAGCGGGTTTCACATGCTCACTGATGGCCTGGGAAACCTGGAGGACAATAGACTCCTCCTGAGAAGAACTGATGTAGATTTAATAAATTCTAAACTTTTCTTCTCTTGACTTTCATCAGCATATTGATAAGACGGAACAAGCTAAAATAGATATTTAAAAATACTTACATTTCTACTACACTTGTTTATTATGATTGCCTTAATAGAATATTCTATATAACTATCATAACTTGTAAACTATTTCCTGATCTTGCTTTGAGCCGCGTATCACAGAAGCTCAGCAAGATTCAAGGATGCAGATCTGATAAAGGACAAACAATTTTTGGGTATTGAGGCAACTTTTCTTCTGTGTTTCCACATCTATCATTAAGAGGTTTTATAATTTCAGTGCTAGTGAAACAAATGAAGGATATTCTGAGAGTAGGTTCAGTGTTGCACCATGTAGGTAGGTCAATGCAAAACATGCTAAGGACAAAAGTTGGTCAACGCTGCTTTCTTAGCTGCTTCAAGAAATACAGACACTAGAGCTGAATTCCAGTTTATGAATGTGGGTGTGTGTGTGAGTCTGTTAGCCCTTTGTATGCTTAACCTCCTGAAAGTTGGGGGTTTTTTTCCCTCATAGTGCTAGTCACACCTCAGATAACCTTGAAAATTCTTTTCTTATGCTCTCAGTTTGTATTTAAATGGCTCCAACCCCACTTATATTTTCTGTTTACATTGATTGTGTGCTGTTCTGCTGTTGTTTCCATCCTACCTTGCTACCACCTTATCCTGTGCTTTCTGCATTTCCTTTTCTCTTCCAAATCGTTGTCAGACTGTCCCCAACAGCTCCATTATGCCTGGGAATATCAGGAAGAGCATAGAGCATGTGGGACCTAGTGTCTCCCCTTCTCAGAGGAGGGCTGAGGCTATTTTTGCTGAGCTTTAAAAACAGGAAGCAAAGAATTCAGCAAGATATGGACACCTGGGATGGCAAATTCCAACATGACTTCTTTCTTTGAAGTTATGAGCAGCATTTTAGACCAGAAAGTCTTAATTAATTTTACCTGTAGATGGTGTGATCAGTGCTCATAAATGCTACTGCCATCTTGCTCCACTGACTTGTTATGTGTGAAGCATCCAAGTGGAGGTCACTAGGTGTCTCTGATATGTCACTTGGTGCAGCTCAGCTGAAAAACACGAAGAAATAGAGGTTTTTGTGTTTATAACAAATAGAAAGTAAGACTATCTCATCTCTTCAATAGTTAATAGCAACATAGCATTCTAATGGGAGAGAGGGAACAAGATGAAACTATTTTTCCATATAATCTGCAGTTGTTCTCCATTATCTGCAGAAGGTGGTTAAATTGTTCACTATGGTCTTTACTATCATAATTATAGAATCACAGAAAAGTTTGGGTTGGAAGGGACCTTTAAAGGTCATCTAGTCCAACCCCTCCCTGCCATGGGCAGGGACATCTTCTACTAGACCAGGTTGCTTAGAGCCCCACCAAACTTGACCTTGAATGTTTCCAGGGATGAGGCATCTACTACCTCTGTGGGCAACCTGTTCCAGTGTTTCACCACCCTTCTTGCAAAAAAATTTGTGCCTTATATCTAATCTGAATCTACCCTCTTTCAGTTTAAAGCCATTACCCCTTGTCCTAGCACTCCATGCCTTTATAAAAAGTCCCTCTCCAGCTTTCTTGTAGGCTCCCTTCAGGTGCTGGAAGGCTGCTATAAGGTCCCCCAGGAGCCTCCTCTTCTCCAGGCTGAACAATCCCAACTCTCTCAGCCTTTCTTCATAGGAGAGGCGTTCCACCCCCCGATCATTTTTGTGGCCCTCCTCTGGACCTGCTCCAACAGGTCCATGTCTTTCTTCTGCTGAGGGCTCCAGAGCTGGATGCAGTACTGCAAGTGGGGTCTCACCAGAGTGGAGTAGAGGGGCAGAATCACCTCCCTTGACCTGCTGGCCATGCTTCCTTTGATTTAGCCCAGGATACGGTTGGCCTTCTGGGCTGCGAGCGCATACTGCCAGGTCATGTCCAGCTTTTTGTCCACCAGTACTCCCAAGTCCTTCTTGGCAGGGCTGCTCTCAATCCCTTCATCCCCCAGCCTGTGTTGATACTGGGGGTTGCCCCAACCCAGGTGCAGGACCCTGCACGTGGACTTGTTGAACCTCGTGAAGTTTGCATGGGCCCACTTCTCAAGCTTGCCTGTGTCTCTCTGGATGGCATCCCTTCCCTCCAGCATGTCAACCACACCACTCAGCCTCATCAAGGGTTAAGGTACCCTTGCTGTACAGTTCCTTTTGGTTCCTGAGCCACAAGGGCAGAGGTGGGTGAAAGTTGCATTCCAGGTTTCACCTGGCATGCCACTTGGCTTATCACTGTTGAGCCAAATTCTGCCAAACCCTGGTTTCCTAACAGGGACTTCGACTCGAATCCAAGTCCCCTTATCATTTTTAAAGGTGCTACTCTAATTTCCAAGCATCCTGTATTGATTGTGCTTTAAACCCAGGTATGTTTGTATAACTGTAGGTTAATATGATTTTATAACAGTACATTTCAACTTCAGATAATGAAAATCACTTGCAATCTGACACACTGTGAGGTTCAGACAAATATGTCTGTTATACCATTACACAATACTCCCAAGAACATTGTTTTCCTCTGGTTCATAAAAGTTGTAATAGGGCCATTAGTCTTACTATCACTTTTCAGTGTGGTTTCAAAACCAGCTAACAAATTTCCTGGTGGCAAATATTTCTTCTCCTATTTGCACTTATTATTCTTCTAAAGAAAAGCTGCAAATAAATGTAAAATGCATGACTAACCTTTACCCTACTTTGTAATG